GCTCTGGTCCATGGGGTCACAAAGAGTCGGACATGACTTTACGCCTAAACAACAACAACAACTTGTCCCTGATGTTTGCTATGTGCCAAAACTAAAGACTGATAAGCTGTAGGAGATTAGGGGATTGATATGATGAAAATTCTTTAAAGCAGTTGAGTACAATGTGGTGGACTGGGAGAGAAGATTTTGCTGTCTGGCTTGCACACAGTTTTTCATGTGAAAGGTGGAAACACCCCCCTTCCACATCCACTACACACCTTACATTCAGTTTGGGTAGATACACAAATAAATACATGTGACTACCTGGAAATAACCAGTGTCACAGGTATAATACTGTGTCAGTATTATGTAATGGATAGTGTGCCATACGAGGATTTAGGAGACCTGGGTTCAAATCTCCATTCAGCCATGGAAATGCATTTGGGGCAGGATTTAGGAGACCTGGGTTCAAATCTCCATTCAGTCATGGAAATGCATTTGGGGGGCGGCGGCAGTCTTAAACTACCTAGTGTGGTGCAGTGGATAGAGTGAGGAACTCAGGGGGCCTGAGTTCAAATCCTCACTGAGCTGTGGAAACACACTGGGGGTGTGGAATGCGTAAAGCCACTCCTTAAATATCTCCTTATTTTGAAAACCTTATTAGGGTTGCTAAAAGTCAGTTGTGATTTGATAGCACATAACAAGGAAAATGTTAAACTACTTCTCGAACATCTTACATGCATGAGAAACAATTTTTCATTCTGCCAAGTCAGTTCTGGCTTATGGTAACCATCATCAGATTTTCTAGATTTTCTAGATACAGAGTACTCAGAAGTAGTTTACCCTTCCTTTCTTCTGGAGGCACCCTGGGACTATTCAGGCTGCCTTTTCTGCCAGGAGGCACAGAGAAGAATTGAACTTCCAACCTCTGACTCAACAGAAAAGTACCTAACTCACTATGTCAGTTGTGACTCAACAGAAAAGTACCTAACTCACTAGGTCAGTTGTCGTAAGTCAAAAGCAACTTGACAGCATGTAACAACAATGATCTAGAAGTTCTACATGTTGAATTGGAGTTTTGGGGAAAATTTGCTGTGTGGCCATGCAAATTAGAGAAGTCTGCTAAAACTAAATAGTTTTGATTTGGCCACTGGTTGAACAGGAGATTTTCCCAGAGGCTTTGGCATATTGACGTAAGGTCTGCTCAGGAAAAGCAGGTTGTAAAAGTAAAACTTGGAAGAGCTATGATTTCATTATGTATGGTCCCTTCATCTGTAGAGATGCTAAATATTGCACATGCAGTTGTTATGCCCAGTTCATCAGTGGGGTAGCCACCTTTATAGCAATAAGATACATGGAAGGAAGGGAGAGAGGAAGGAAGGAAGGAAGGTCTTAATTTTCTTCTATACCTCAAAATGATTCTTCCATATTGCCTGAAATTATAACTGAAATAGGGCTCCCTGGGTAAGGAATGCTATAAGAATACCACACATTATGGTGGGTTTTAAAAGAAACTTTGCCTCCAGAGTGAAAATCCTGTTCTTCTGTTTTTACAGAGCTGCATGCTTTTGGGAGGCAGAAAAACTACAGACATTCCACTTGAAGGCTATCTCCTAACTCCCATCCAGAGGATTTGCAAATATCCACTTCTCCTAAAGGTAACCCAAAATGGTTCCCCCCTCCCCCCCCCATAGCTGTGTTCATTTATCAACTATCCCTGCAATCTTTTTCTTTTGCTTATTGGGCATGAAGTCCTGTACTTCTGATCTGCAAATGTGAACGGTTAACAGTCTGCCTAAATAAAGATTAGTTGGCTTTGATCCTTTTGAGTCCAATGAAAAAAGTGGGAGACAGTGGTCCTTGTAAGGAGACAGTGTTACTTACTCAGTTATATGTCTTATTGGTGTACTGCCTCAAGTGGGTTATTGCCTTATTTGTGTTCTAGTTACCTGTGTCTAACCAAATGGATGTCAGGCTCACTGAGAATTGATTCACACATGCAGGGACAACCCTTGCTGTTTTGCACTTGATTGTTTGGTATTTCTGTCTGGAAACGTGAGAACAGTTTCTGTCAGGTGACATGAAAGCTCTATGTGTATTGTACCTTTTGCAGTCTCCCGTTTGTACCTGCAAGGTATCATTTTATGTTGCAGGCCAGGTTTCCTCTTTCATTGGAAATATATTTCTTGATGTTAATAACGCCTGACATCTGAGATAGGGCAGCAATTCAGAAAGTCCCAAAGTCTTGTCAGTTCTAAAATTCCTAAGAATAGGAGTCAGATTGTGACAGATTTAGCTTGTTTTAAAATGCTGCCTCAGCTTTTGCAACAGGCACGAAATAACCCACTGTTTGTTTACATTGGATCAGTAGTGGGGAGAGGGTTGGTGAGTGTTCATTCCATGGATTTGCATTGGGATTATGTATGACACATGGGGGCCTTCTTAAAACCTTTTGGATAGCACAGGCAGGCCAGAGGAAGTCAAAGTTAGATAAGTCTGGTCTGTGCACGTTCTTCAGGAAGGACAGCCTTACTGGAGTCACACTTGAGTCACAGTGTGATTTTCTTTTTTGTTGTATTTATAAGTGTGTTAAAACTCAGTGGAACATGTTGAGAGATTATTATTTGGGATGATGAGAGATGATGACCTAATATAGGGTGGCCATGTGCCCTTCTTAACAGAGGACAGACCTCTATTTGAAGTTATCCTGTTTTCTTAAGGACTCTTTCTTTATCATGCCAGAAGCAACACAATACAATTAATGAGTGTATCAGATAGGTTTTGCCCAATAACGGGTAACGTCAAGAGCATTGGAAGCAGCTAACACAATGTGTTCCATAGTGCACATTGAGGGCCATAGAGTACGCTGACACAACATGTGAAGTTGCCTGTTCTCTGCACTTGAAGAGAGCGGTGTCAGTGCAAAAAACCCCACTTGCTTAGATTCAATCTGATTGTCAATTCAAGCTGTAGCCTGTTAAGTGACTTTTAGTCTCTGTGTGACCAGGGGCTAGCTGGACGTTCCTTGAGTTCCATCAGTTTTAAAAGGTGGATAATACTTTCTTTCTTTATGATAATCTTGATAACAGTCTGCACTTTTCTTCAAAATTCACAGATGTTCTGATAAATGTTTTCCTCAACTTTAACGTAGGAGGGATAGGATGGTTGTCAAAGAATTTATGTGCTTTTGATGTAGATATCAACTTAGTGCAGTAAGAGGCACTCGAAGTAGGTTTGTTTGAATCAGTGGAACTTAGGGAGAAGTTGGCTTACAAAATCCCCACATATTTCACATGTTTGAATCAGTGGAACTTAGGGAGAAGTTACAAAATCCCCACATATTTCAGTGAGTCTACTCTGGCATTATTTGTTTAACGTACTTGGGTCCTCCCATGTTCCCATCTAAGGAACTACTTTAAGCTGTCATTGGGAAATGCCAAGTCTAGTCCATCAGGGAAAGATATTATAGGGCAGGGAAAGATATTATATCTCAGAGCCTTGTTAATTGTTTAAATAATTTTAATTTGTAGAGTTAGGTAGAAAAATATTAAATGTTAGCGATGTGCAGATTTCTACAGCCTAGTTGTCTGGGGAATTATGGAAGTCGAAGTCCTCAAATATAAATCTGTGCATCTCTGTTAAATATGATCTTCCATCATTCTGTTGTGTTTGTCTACTGCATGTGCAGACTTGGTCAGAGCTAAGGGTTGCTACTGATTCCCTCATCTTACTCAAGGATTTCTAACAAGGCAGCAAGGCTAGTAAGTGTACTACAGCAACTTGCCACCATTGCCCTGGGTGAGTCATTTGAGGCATATCTCCTGGGCCTCTGATCGGCAAGGGTGAGGGACAACAGGACTCTGTTAGCAAGCTGGCTCATGAGGTCCACCTGCAAGGAGAAGAGGACAAAGCGGAGACTGGGATAAAAGAGGAAGACCTAGAGGGCTCAAGGGCTTCCTTTAAGGAGACAGAGGGAGAGATGGAGATGTGGGGAGAGGCTGTTGAGGCTTAGGATCCCCAATTTTGCTGATGCGGAGGCTGCCTGAGAAGAGGAACTGAGCCCTGCCCATTGAGTAAAGGAAGAGACTGCAGAGGAGAGACCTGAGGCAGGACTCTTAAGATCCCACCATACCTTTGACCTGACCTTGGTGCCTCCCTCATCCAGTGAGAGCAGTGGCACCCACTTTGACCCAGCTGTGGCACTGGCAACAAATGTGCCAAAGTGAGAGATACAGGATGCTCCAGGAAGAACAGATATGTGGGGACCAATATCCCTCACCCATCTTTACCAACTGTCCTTGAAGAGCCTTTAGCAAGGGCCAGACCGCCTCGTTTTGTAAGACCAGGACTATCAGGGTTCCCTGTGGCTTTAACAGGTGGATCCTCTTGCAAGGACATTCCCTGGGGGTTAATGCAGGGAACTCTAGCCTCCAGGAAACTCCTGCAGGGAGATAAGGACAGTTCCTGTCAGTTCCTTAGTCACAATAAAGACTGTTCTTGATTAATCTTCTAACCTGGATCCCATGGAATTATTGTCAGGACACTTGGTCTCTGCCATCCTCAGGGGTAGAACCAGCGGCACTCACATTTTGTAAGGGATAAAGCTTGAAAAAGGTAGCTTCTTAAACTTTGACTCCTAGTGTACAACAACCGGCACGGCCTCATAGACTAGGGGATTCGGGGGTGGGGGAATTTTCCAAGCTTTCCTAAGGAACAGAAATAGATTTTCAAGGCTCATGTATGCAGATAACTTTCTTTAATCTGTTCAGACAAGGTTGAAACCATCCAATCTATCAATTTCCTCTACACAATTTTCTTTTCTTCTACTCAGTCCAAAGTTGCCTTATCCGGATTCAAGTTTAGGCTGGAAGTTAAATATTGTGGCAGGGATTAATTTGAAACAGCGCTCAGTTGTCAACCTATTTTTCATCTTAGGATTCAGATCCAAAAATCGTCATTTCATTTATTTCAAGATAAAGCATAACAGAGAAGATGCAGCCTTTAACCTGCCCTTCAGCTCCATGCTGGTTGGGGTAGCGCTGACAGTTATAGTCTTAATATCTTTAGGAAACATTAGGTTGGGAAAGGCTGTCATAAAATTTTACGGTTGGGGGGATGAAGTGACAGATTTACCAAGATCCTATGTGATTGGGTGGAGTCCTATTAATGATTGGGTGAGGTCTGTATAACTTGCCGCAGCTAATTGATGAGAAGCTGGAGCACATTTTGGTTGCGCAATTGAGTGCCTGATCAAGAACATGAACAAAACATACTTTGCCATCTCAATAACCAGCCAGAATAAGTTGTGCAAACATTAGTCATGGATGTTGATCAGATTCTGGCCATTGTGCTTTTGAACCACAGAACATGGTAAGAAAACCGAGTTTAAACAAGAATAGCATGCAAGTAATCTCCAAGATAATAACAATATTGCACTGCCTCCTTTTTAAACTGGAGTCATAGTTGGTTGTTCCCTCTGATAAAAGTCCAGTTGTGATCTGTAAGACATCATACTAATGCATGGTACAAGCCATGCAGTTCACTGGTGAGGCAGTTGTTCCACGTGATTCAACCATGCATAGTGGAATAGCCATCTCTCCTTAGGAAGGTCAACTTCTGAAAGAAAGTGGACCCTATGGGAGGCAGTATTGGTGCACCGATGATGTGCTAATCACCTGCTTAGGGCTAGGATTAACCACACTTACCACTGCTTCTCCCACATACATATAATAGACATATGTAGGTCATAGTAGTACACTGTTGGAGCCGTCTGATTAATACTTGCATGATGTCAAAATAATGGATGCTTTTTGTGACTTCTGCAGGTTATCTGGCTATAGTCCAAACCTGTATTATTTTAGTTCTATGCCTCATTACTCTCTGAGCCACTTAAAAGTAGATTTGATAATTATAAGCTGAAACCTTGGCTGCTTGGAGATGCCTGTGTTTCTAAGAGACAATAACCTGGAGGCAGGAGCTGAGCTGCCAGACTCCAAATCCACTTGAAAGATAATGCAAAACAGCACAGGGCTTGGAAACCTTAGCGGTGTCAGGTGTCAGAAATCTGTCATGGGAAGCAGTGCAGATAAGAAGTATGATAGAAATCAAGACAAGGTGCTTTTCATTCTCCCTTGGGGAGAAGGGATATCAGTAATTAGCTGTAGTGTGAAAATGCAGGTTTTCCAACTCCTTGTTTAGATTGAAGGTGATACTGTATGTGTACTTAAAAATCTGCAAAGAAAATTTAAAACTTTCCTGACTTTCATTTTTTTAAAAATTCGTAACCCAGAAATAACATTGCCTTTACTGCATATAACTGGAAGAAGAAGAAGAGTGAAACTCCTTACCTGTGTGGTCAAATTGGATCTTGAAACATGTGAGCACAACAGAATCATACACTCACACAAAGGCACTGTGGTGCTGTGCTGATGCACTTGTGCAATGGTGCTATGATGCCATGCTGATGGGCTTACAGAAGGATGGTTTTGTCTTATGCTTCTGCAAACATCAACCCTTCCATAGGGAGCGATTAGATACCGCCTTCTAAAAGCGCATAGAAAATAAGTATAATAATTGTGTGCCATCAAGTAAATTCTTACTTCTGACAACCCTTTTCAGGGTTTTCTGGGTAGAGAATACACAGAAATTATTTACCATC